GGGAGGCGGGCTGTAACTGTGACCGCGACTGGACAGGCTGTGGACACTCTAAGGGAGGAGCAGGACCAGTAGAGGGCGGGAGACCAAGAACCTGCTCAAGGAGCGGAACGAAGTACGACCTCGGCCGCGCAGCGCCGCCAGAACCAGCAAGGACAGCACCAGTACCCCCAGCGGCAGCACCAGCGCCAGCAAGACCTCCAGCTCCAACATCGCCAACTCCAGCACCCTCAGAAGCACCAACGCCAGCAGAACCACCAGCGCCAACACCAGCAGGACGGGCAGCTCCAGTACCGCAAGCAGGACTAACTCCAACGGCCCTAGCAGCATCCCCCAGTCCCAGCATCTCCAGTACCGCCAGTACGAGCACCTCCAGGACCAGCATCTACAGTAGTGCCTCCAGCTCCAGCAGCATGGCTCCAGCGTCGGGCAAACCACTCGTGCAGCTCCTGCAGAGAGAGTAGCTCCCGCCTCGACGAAGCACCGCCAGAGGCCACACGAGCAGACCCAGCACCCCCAGGCTCCGCACCCCCAGGCTCCGAACCCCCAGGCTCAGCACCCCCAGGCTTAGCACCCCCAGGCTCAGCACCCCGAGACTCAGCACCCCCAGACTCAGCACCCCCATGCTCAGCACCCCTAGACTCAGCACCCCCAGGGTCAGCACCCCCAGACTTGGCACCCGCAAGCTCAGCGCCCCTAGAAGTACCAGAGTCAACAGCTACCTCGACAAGCTCGATTGCGTCTACCTGGGACACACCTAACGGGGCAGGACCCTGAGGGGGGAGAGGGTCTACCGAGGGAGGACCTGGCGCAAGGAAGAGCGACGACGGGGGGAGGGGCGCAGTGCGGTAGGGGAAGAAGCGGTAGTAGGGCACCAACTCGTCAAAGGTGACGTCCTGGGAGGACAGAACACGGCGCGAGGTGGGGTGGTAAAACTGCCAACCAGGCGCGTCAGGGGGGAAGCCAAGGAAGACGCAGGGAACAGCACGGGGGGACAGCTTGTCTGCAGACAAGTTGCGGACAAACGCCCGAGATCCCCAGACCCAAAACGCAGACCCATCGCCAACCTTCCGCGTCCACCGCAAGGTGGGGGAGGTCTCTGGCAAGGAGACCCGGGGCTGAAGGTTGAGCTGATGCGCTACGTAGTGAACTGCAAACGGCCACAGAAAATGGGGAGCAGCCGCATGGATCATGGACGTACGAGCGACGTCCATGACCATGCCAATGCGGCGCTTAGCAATCCCATTTTGCTGTGGAGAGGCCGGAAGCGTGAAGGTCTGGCGGATTTCCCTGTGCACGTCAGAAGGCTCCCAGACGGGCAAAACAAAACTCCCCGCCTCTGTCAGAGTGCAGACGTAGAACAGGAAAGTCCGAGCCGAAACTCTCTCTTAGCTAGAGATCAGCTGCGCAGATCCAGTCGATCAACACCTCAGTGACGTCACCCTTGCTGCGCAAGGGGAACACCGTGGTGTAACGCGAGTAGTCATCAACCACCAACAGGAAGTAACGCTCGTGATCCTGACCACGGACGCGGGCCGGGCCCCACACGTCGATGTGAAGAGTCTGCAGGGGAGCCTCTGTCGGAGGAAACTCGGAGGAGTGAGGGGCGGCGCGCTGCCGCCCCTCGACGCAGGGAACGCAGGTAGGGGCAGGCCCCGGAGGGAGGGGAGGGAGGGACCGAGGGAGACTAGAGACAAGGACACGGGAGGCCATGCCTCGCAGACGAGGCAGGGAGGGGTGACCAAGGCGGTGGTGCCAAAGGAGAGTCTGGTGGGACAGGAGACGACATGAGCAGGGAGCAGACTCAGGACCAGACCTGGACGCTGCAGCAAACACCTGACTAGACGCAGGTACCTGACCAGACGCAGCAACCAGAGGAGACTCAGTAGTCAGTGTGTACAGGCTCGACCCCGGTTGACGGGTAAACGTGGCCAAGTGTCGGCCCGTCCGAGCACACGTGCAGTGGGTCACCCGCTGACTCGCAGGAGTGAACTGGTCAACCCCCCGATCCTGCTGATCAGCACCACTCACCAAGTTCGTAGAGAACGAGGGGAGGTAGAGACCTGACAGGGTGCCAAAGAGGGCTGCCGGACACGGTAAGACAGTGGAGAAGCGAGCAAGGACAGGACCCCCAGAGGGGTCCGCCAGGGAGACCGCAACCGGCCGACTAAGCGGCGTAAGCGTGGTGCGGTCTCGAAAGGAGCGGGAAGCACCCGAGTCAAGGGTGAAGGTGTGTAAGGCCTGAGCCGACGTGGTACTTGAGAGAGCAGACTCACCAGCACCTGGGGCAGCAGACGCACTAGCACCTAGAGTAGCAGCCTCACCAGCACCTAGAGCAGCAGCCTCAATGCCCGGGTCAGGCGGAACACACAGGTATTAGTCACCCTCATCACTAGTAGACACAGCATACATGGCAGCAAGAATAGCATCATAGTCAAGATCAAAGATGGCAGCCCCCGCCCTAGACAGGTCTCCCCAGCGAGGGATCTTAGTGGCGTCAGGGAACTGGTGACGCCAAGCGTCCGTCAAGCGGCCGAAACAGCGCTGGGTGGAGTGCGAGCCCCCGCACTGCTCACCAGCGCGGTCGCCAGTACAGAGGACGTAGGTACAGGGACCAGTACCCCCACCTCGCTGACGCCAGCGTACCACTCACGAAGCTGCTGGGGGGACGGGGTCTCATGAGTGCGCTGCTGCTGCAGGCGCTGACCACCACCAGAGCCACTCCTCTGTGCAGAGCCGCGACCAGCTCCATCGCCGCCGCCGCCGCGTCCGCCTCCGCCGCCTCCGCTCCCACCGCCACCGCCGCCGCCTCCTCCGCCTCCACTGCTGCCACCGACACCTCCACCCCCGCCACCACTCCCACCACCACCCCCACCCCCTCCACTGCCTCCACCGCCACCTCCACCACCCCCGCCAGCCCCTCGAGCGCCCTTGCCTCCTTGCCCTTGCCTGTGCGACGTCTCCCGCTAGGGGCAGACGCAGCGCCGACCGACTCGAAACCAACGAGGTCGGTCGCAGCAGCAGAAGCAACAGAGGGCAAGAGGGGGGAGGGGGAACACCCCTCAAAGACGGGGGTATGAGGGTCACCACGAGAGGCTCCTACAGCGACTATGCTCTTCTCTGCTGCCAGGAGGCGCTCCTCGAGGAGGTCAACGGTGAGTGTGGTGGGGCAAACTGGGAGGAAGTGGTCCCTGACTAAGCGAAGGGAGTCAGGGAGCCGGGTGACTATGTAGTAGAGGGTGATGTACCTGGGGGGGGGGGTTCTTGGCGCAGAACTCAGCAGGAAGCGCAGCGCGGTAGCGGGTGTCACTAGTGCGAAGGTGCGTAATGAGGTCAGCGACTGTGGGAAAGGCGGGTTGGTCAGGGAACAGGTACGGCAGCATGAGGCGGCTAAGGGCAGCAGTGGCAGGGGAAGAGTAGCGTGCAATGACAGCGTCGTACAAGGTCTTAGCACTCTTGTACTGACTAAAGTGCGCGCGCTTAGTGGACGGCAAGTGACTACGCACAACAAGACGGGCAGCAGCATTGCGTGTGGCCCACTGTAAGCGAACAGTGCTGTCAGCATCAGCAGCAGGGGCAGGAGAGGCGCTAGAGGTGAGATCGAACAGTGAGAGACCGTCTTTCCTATCGCACTGTAGGAAAAGCCGCAGATCATCGACCTAGACCTCAAAGTCAACAGCCCTACCCTCAGTATCAAAGACGAGGACGCTAGGGGTAGCCATGACAGCAGTAGTAGCAGTAGCAGTAGTAGCAGCAGTGCGGTGACGCTCTTACCAGGGCAGAGGGCCGCAAGTGGTGGGGCAGGGCCGAGGGGCACCGGCAGGGACGGGCCGAGGTGCGCAGGCAGAGCCGAGGCGCGCCGGCAGGTACGGGCCGAGGCGCGTCGGCAGGTACGGGCCGAGGTGCGCTGGCAGGTACGGGCCGAGGCGCGCCGGCAGGGACGGGCCGAGGCGCGCTGGCTGGGTCGGGCCGAAGCGCGCCGGTGGCTGCTGCTGGTGACGGCTGCGGCTGCTGCTGGTGACGGCTGCGGCTGCTGCAGTAGGGGCGGCGACGATGGGCCGCGAAGGGGCTGTAAGGGGCCGATGAGGGCGGCGCGAGTGGCCGTAAGGGGCCGACGAGGGCGGCGTGAGGGGTCGTACGGAGCCGATGAGGGCGGCGCGAGGGGCTGTAAGGGGCCTACGAGGGCGGCGCGAGGGGCCGTAAGGGGCCGACATGGGTGGCGCGAGGGGCCGACGGACAGCGCGAGGAGCCGGAAGGGGCCGTAAGGGCGGCGCGAGAGGCCGTAAGGGGGGCGCTAAGGGCGGCGCGAGGGGCCAACGGGCGGGATGAGAGGCCGTTAGGGGCCGTAATGGCGGCACGAGGGGCCGTAAGGGCGGTGCGAGGGGCCGTAAGGGGCCGTAAGGGCGGCACGAGGGGCCGTAAGGGCAGCGCGAGGGGCCGTAAGGGCGGCGCGAGGGGCCGTAAGGGGCCGCTAAGGGCGACGCGAAGAGGCCGCAAGGGGCCGTGAGAGGGCGCGACGGTAGGGAAGGCACACGGGGCGCGACGCGGGCAGGAGCGAAGCGCGCTCCAGGCAGGAAAAAAAATCGTGGTGGGCCCTGAGAAGTGTTCCCACTAGGGAACCTGCTCTATACCATGTGAAATAATGAGGAAAGAATGAATGAACTAGCAAGCAAGTGGGTACAAGTAGGAAAACCTAAAAGTGTTGTACCCCATATTGTCTACCCCACTACAGCCTACACAGACTATAGCATATGAGTTTGACACTAGGCTTAGAAGCCTAGGCCAAACAGGTGTCGAGAGAGTTGTGCCAAGCGAAAGTGAGAATGTGTGTTGTTCACTATAGAACACAAGGTACATATAGCAAACTAGCAAAGGTGCACCACCAACAGCAAGGAAACATAACTACACTAAAGCTAAAGCTACAGGCAGTTATAAACATATATAAAATATTTAGCGCGACAGTGCGTGGCGAAAAGGCGTGGTGGGCCTAACCGTCCCGGGGAATGCCGTCCTGCCCTCGGTACAGTATCACTGCCCTTGTATAGTGTCACTGCCCTTGTTATAGCGCCACGTCTGTCAATTCTAGCATCCCTCTCATTTGTTTCTCACCAACCCTCCACCTCCTTCCCCACCGCAATGACTACTGCCCCCTCCTTCCTTCCCCCCACCTTTCCTCCTCTCTCTTCATTATTCATCCCGGCTGCCATCTACCTCACCACCCTCCCTGCGGCCATGGCAGGTGTCCGTCTCCTTCGACCACGCCTCGCCGCCGCTCTCCCTCCCGTCCGACCTGCTACTCCTCGCTGTCTTCGACTCCGCCCTCTCCCGCGACGACACGTCAGCAGCTAATTTTACTGGCTTCGCTGCCGACGCGTCAGGCGGTGCTGAGCTGGCATCTCTCGACGTCACGCTGTCAGGTGCCCTCACTGAGCTGGCATCTGACCTAGATTTCAGAGCGAAGCCCGGGCACGTTTCGCAAGTTCTTCGCTTTCCTGGGCAGCCGTTTAAAAGAGTCGTGCTGCTGGGACTGGGCAAGCCGGATGTGCTTTTAAAGGGGGAGGCCGGCTCGTGGCAGGGGCTAGGCTCCGCTATAGCGAGCGCTGCTAAAACGAATCAAGCTAGCAAGGTATCCCTTGCATTCCTCGGCAAGCCAGAGGCGGCGGAGGGGCAGGAGATTAAAGTCGAGAGCGCGGTTCGAGGGATAGGGACGGGCGCCATAGTAGGTAGCTTCGAGGACGTGCGGCTCAAATCAGAAGAAATGGAGAAGGCGAAGGCACAGAGGGGTGTGAAGGAGTTGCAAGTGGTGGGGCTGGGTGACGCGGAGTCACTGCAAAAGGACGTGTTCGAGGTGGAGAGGGCTGGCGGCAGGAATCATCCTCACCAAGCACCTCGTCAACGCGCCGCCCAATGTGCTCACGCCAGCTGTCCTCGCTGACGTGGCGGTCAACTAGACCGCCCCTCACGCGGACGTGCTGAGCGCGCGTGTACTAGAAAAGGATGAATGCGCCGCCCTGGGCATGGGGTCGTACCTGGCAGTGGAGGAGGCATCAGCGGCGGACAGCCCGCCCAAATTCATCCACGTCACCTACACACCACTTGCTGCTGCTGATGGTCAAGGGGCGGAGGAGAAGCCGCTGAAGAAGTTGGCGCTGATCGGCAAGGGACTCACCTTCGACAGGTATGCATGGGTCTCAATTTCACTTGTGACATGGGGATAGTGAGCCGTCAATACACGGGGATGCGTATGGTGCTCATCCAGTCTCTATGAGAGGCGCCAGACAGCTAAGGGCTCCACAATACCTCTCACCCTTCCCCACCCATCCCGTCCCCACCCATTGCACCCACTAGTGGAGGGTACAACCTCAAGGCGGGGCCGGGTTCAATGATTCACCTGATGAATTTCTTCTTCGCATCCCCCATACCCAATCACTCGTCGCCCATCCCCACCCATCCCCACCCATCCAAACCCATTCCCACCCATTCCCACACATCGCACCCACTAGTGGCGGCTACAACCTGAAGGCGGGGCCGGGTTCAATGATTCACCTGATGAAGTTTGACATGGGCGGCGCTGCTGCTGTGCTGGGCGCTGCCAAGGCCATCGCTGCCATTCAGCCCCAGGGCGTGCAGGTGAGGCCAGACCATGCAAGCACACACGCACACACACACCGCTGGCACCACTAATGCCATCGCTGCTATCCAGCCTCAGGGTGTGCAGGTGAGGGTTCTGCACCTATTTCCGCCCACCTGCTCCCTCAGCACTCAGCACCCCCTCACCTCTTTTCCGAACGTGCCTTGCTGCCGCCACAGGCATGCCACGGCCATGGGGCATGGGGCATGGCACGCATTCACCTCCCATATGGTAGGGGGTGGTCAACGCGTGCTATTAGAGCCTGAGGCTCGAGATGCAATGGGGCGTGGATGGAGGCAAGTGTGTATTGTTGCGTGTGTTGTCACCTTTTCCCCCACGCCCCTTGCTTGCTGTTTGCATGCCCAGGGACAGTTGGTCATAACAGCACACCAGTGGGGAACACTCTGTGAAGGCTTCATGAAGGCTTGATCTTGTTGATGTGGTGTATGTTTGTGTGTGTGCTTTGAGTTGTTTGAGAATTCTTAAAAGTCACACCAGTGGGGATAGCGTGAAGGCTTAATCCCATTGATGTGATGTCTGTTTGTGTGTGCGCTTTGCGTTGCATGTGCATGTGCCTTGCATGTGCATGTGCCTTGCATGTGAATGTGCCTTGCATGTGCATGTCCCTTGCATGTGGATGTGCCTTGCATGTGCATGTGCCTTGCATGTGCATGTGCATGTGCCTTGCATGTGCATGTGTATGTGCCTTGCATGTGCATGTGCCTTGCATGTGTATGTGCCTTGCGTGTGGATGTGCCTTGCATGTGCATGTGCATTGCATGTGCATGTGCCTTGCATGTGCATCTGCCTTGCATGTGCATCTACCTTGCATGTGCATGTGCCTTGCATGTGCATGTGCCTTGCATGTGGATGTCCCTTGTATGTGCATGTTAACATGCCCATCACTACAGGTGCATTTCATCATAGCAGCGTGTGAGAACATGGTCAGTGGGGGCGGCATGAAGCCGGGCGACATCATCACCGCCTCCAACGGCAAAACCATCGAGGTAGCGGCCAGCGAGCTGCTGAGGCTTTGGCTCGATTCCTGTGCGTTGAGGTAGTTAATTGTTAGTCATTATCTCTGCCTCCAACAGCAAAACTACAGAGGTGAACCTACATGCATTTAGGTACCTCGAGGTGTGGTACAACGAGAGCAGTGGGGTGCGGCAAGAGCATTGGGAATGGCAGTTGGGTGTTGTCTAACAACACTGTCTACAACACAACCGGCCCATCCCTTCCTCCCCGTCCCCGTCCCTTCCTCCCCTTCCCCACCCCTACCTCCCCTTTCCCGCCCCTTCCTCCCCTTCCCTGTACCCATCCCAACAACACGGACGCGGAGGGGCGGCTGACACTGGCAGATGCGCTGCTGTACGCGCAGTAGCAGGGCGTGGAGAAGATTGTTGATGTCGCCACCCTCACTGGCGCTTGCATCATCGCCCTCGGGAACGACATCGCTGGTACGCTCCTGGCATGACGTGTTGGCTGATATGTCGGTGGCATTGCTGGTGAAATCGCATGCATATGTACTCATGTGCACCTTCTCTCACTTAACCCCCCTTCCTCACCCCCCCATCTCCCTCGTGCTCCTCCCTCCCACCACCCTAGGTCTCTTCACCCCGAGTGATGAGCTGTTAGCGGAGCTGGAGGCGTCATCCAAGGCGTGTGGTGACAAGGTGTTGTGCATGCCCATGGAGGAGGCGTAATGGGAGGGCATGCGCAGCAAGCATGCTGATATGGTCATTACAGGCGGCTGTGAGGGTGGCTCCATCACCGCAGCCCTCTTCCTCAAGCAGGTGGTGTTGGAATAACCGAAAGGTTATCTTAAGCAATCCCAAAGGCTTCCCACTATCGCGTCACTTCATAATGAAGTAAACGCCTGTATCAGTACCGCAATAGCTCATATAGAGCACGCGGAAGGTCGAGGGTCACCCGAAGGTCAACAGTCGAAGACAGTCAACGGTCGTGACCCTTGACTGGCCAATAACAGCACGAGGCAGTTGCGAGATGCAACGTGGTAACTGTCTAGAATGGCAATAGTCGTGGTTACTGTAGCAATGTAAAAAAAAATGAGGGAATGTACCCCTCAAAGTACATGGCTAGCTAGGATTGCTATTTATATTCCTGTACTCCTATCTTATAATCATCTTGTTCTTTCAAAGTTCATCAACAAGCTTATTACAGAGACTTCACTGTTCTTTCATAGACTTAGCAACTTTATCCTATCCACTGCGATCCTTCAGTTATAACATCATGGTATGAGAGAAAGAGTGGATTATAAGGCCTGCTAAGTTCTTGTTCTTGCTAGAACAACCTCCCTATAAATTATTCGTTACGTCATTACAAACTCTGCACTACTATGGCTCCAGAAGGAAAAGCCACTGCAGATTCTCTGGGCCCACCACCAGCAACACCTACTGCACCATCAGCGGTGACCTCCGTCAGCGCCGCTCTTGTTGAGCAGCTGGTCGCCCGCATTAATGCTCTTAAGAGCCATCAAGCGATGAGCATCGATGGCTCAAGCTACGCACGTGGAGTTGCTAGACTCCCTCTCCCAGAAGAAAACCGCCGCGTCAACTCCGAGAGGTCCTTCACATTTGACAATCGTCAAGCTGTTGTGTGATGCAATCATATGCATTCGCGTCTGTCTGCCCCCCATCATACTGTTCGTGCGTTGCATGCGTGTTGTGAGTGTGTGCAAGAATTTGTGTTTTGTGCGGTTTGGTTTTTCTGAGTGTGTGTGTGAATGTTATTTGGCTTGAGCAGATATCTAAAGTGACTCCTCTGCTCAAAGAGTTGTCCGAGGAACCAAGTATCGCTTCAATCGGAGCACGATCAAGAAATTTACGAACGTTGGAGTTCGTATGCTTTTCATATTTGATTGTGGCAACTGTGGGAAGTTGTGGGGTTGACTCAATATGGGGTACAGACTTTTGGGGGTTGGCAAATTCGTCAACATCACTGTAGATGCTGCCAAATGGTTGGGTGAAACCAAACCAGGTTGGCAAGTGTGGCCAAGTTGGGTTGAGGTGGATTGTGGAGGTTGGGATAGTGACAAAGGTCAAAGTTGGGTTGCCTATGGGGAAGGGAATTGTGTGGCATGGGGTTTCCTTGGTTGGGAACACTCTCTTGGGACCTTCCCTCTCATCCTCCTCATCCCTTCCACCTGGTTTAGTGCTACTCTAACTCTCTTGTGTAGTAGTTGTGAACTTGTGTGAGAACTTGGTGATTGAATTAAGATTCGATGGCACCATACCCCCTAGTGCGCCAAAATTGATAACTCAAGAAATACTTCACCGTTTTGTATGATTCAACTTGGGAATTGTAGCCACGGAGTAGAGCTACAACATATCTGAGTTTAGTGAAGTTTTGACAGTGCACGTTTCGTCGACGGCGTTTCTTGTGAACGCAACGTTTTTGTCCAGAATTCTAAGCCAACGATTTTGAGAAATTTAGGCACCTAATCTTCATAGACTCCATCCTTAGTCTCTAACACAAGCTTCAGCTCCTGCGCAAGACAGTCAACAACGCGCACATTCAGACACGATCGCAACAATGCAGACGAAGTTCGTTCTGACCTCGAAGCTGAAAACGTCAGTTCCCTTCGACGGAAAATATTTCTACATGTGGAGCTTCGAGTTCGAGCTCCTCACGACAACTGCGCAGATTTGGATGTACTACGATGGAAGCTTACCGTTTTCGATGGAAGGGACCATCCAAGAGAAAAACTAATACTACCGCGAGTCTCTTCTTGCGTACACCACTCTTCTCCGAAACCTCTCCCCTTCCGAGCAGCTCGGCATTCGCTCCTACAAGTCAGAGTGGGCGCCCGCGTATGCCTCCTGAGAGCACCTGGGCAACTCATACATGGCAACAGATCACGTCACTATGAGTCGCTTTCTCAGCCAAATGCAACAAGGAGAGAAAGCGGGACCGTATATCAACCGGTGCTGCAATATGCGCGACCAAATCAAAAAGTGCGGCGGAACCGTTCCTGACGACATGTTCGTCTCGATGGTTCTCTCCGGACTCGGACCCGACTAGCGTCAATGCCAATCGTTGCTTCGTGCTCGAGCAACCATCTCCGAGTCGGCCTTGTACGCCACGCTCCTCTCTGAGCAAAAGGAGATCGACTTGTACAATGAGAAGAACACCAAGCGGGAAAAGTTAGTCTTCTACATTGGAGCAACTGAAGGGGAGCAGCACGGCAAGAGATGAACTTTCTGCAAATACTGCAAGAAGCCCGGGCACACTATCGATCGGTGCTACAAGCAAAAGGCTGCTGACGAGCGGCGCAACAACTCCGCCAATCGGCAGCCCTCGGCACCCTCGGCTCCTCCTACTACGACCTCGACCGTGTCACCGCCTTCAATAGCAAGCACTTCTCAAACCCCTGCACGCATCTCCAACAAGGACAAAGGCAAAGGAATGATCATGAGCTGTATGGCACGGCGCCGCAAAGGCATTCGATACTACGACAATGTTCAATATCCGCCTATCGCGCCCATGAACCCTATTGTACTCAGTCCAGACAACGATCCCACCATCTACACTTGGATCGACCAACCATCAAAATACCCACCTGATTTCGAGCTGCCACCGCCGACACCGGAATCTCCTCCCAGCATCTCGGCGAACAGGTACTTCGCTCTCTCGCCATACAACGGTGACTTCGATCGCGTCATCACACCAAAGATCCCCAACATCGCACGACAGAGCCGTGAGAACATCAACACCTGGTACCTGGACAGCTGATGCGGACAACACATGGTGGGATCACCAACGTTCATCAGCAACTCAAAACGCATGCGACGACCGTGCGAAATCACACCTGCGAACAACAGCACACTGAAGGCATATGACATTGGTGAAGTTTACCTTGAAGCAGACGACACGAAGTTCACCGTTCACATCGGAGATGTGCTTTTCGCCCCAGATCTGCGGTACAACCTGCTCTCTTCGGCACAGCTTATGCGGTGCGGAGTCGACATTCGCAGCAACTGCAGGGACAACATCTTTGTACTTTTCTACAAAAACTCTTACATCGGCAAAGCGATCGACGATGACGGAGTCTTCGTGCTGCAGTTCTCGGCTCAAGGAACTACTGGAGACTCTCACCGCACTGTGCTGCTAAAAACAACTCCTTTGCAGCCGCCAACATGGTCACATCCCACGGAAATGGACCTCGAGCGACCTGCTTCCAATGGCCTTCTGCGACTGCGCACCGTTCCGACAGCCTCGACCTCCAACCCGGCTGAAAATGGACCTACAAGAATGGAAGAGGACAGCGGCACGTGTGGAACCAGACACTGAAGAGGCTGGAACATAATTAGGAAGCTCCAGTCCAGCAGTCGGCTCCTTGGGAGAAGTCCTAACACCAGAAGAAGCAGCTTCAAAAGTACGGGGCACTGTCTCAGCATCGGAAGGCGGCGCCACCGCTCCAATGGAGGCTGGCGCTGCCACCGGAGGCGACCAGGGAACTGGAGGTGACTGGGGAACTGGAGGCGACTGGGCAACCGGAGGCGGTTGGGGAACCTCAACAAGCGAAGGAGAATGGCGGCAAGCAGCCCCTGCTTATCCCGAAGCTCCGGGACTCCCTCCTGCAGATATCGCGGCAATCGATCCATATTGGGCAACACCTGGCACCAGCTGGGGCGGACTTCCTCTCCCAGATCAATATGCTCCTAACACACCAGAACCAATGCAAGAAGAGTCAGAGGAGGAGGTAACTTATGAATTCTTCGTGGGAGCAGCAGAATTACCACAACCTTCCGAGGAGACGCCTCCACCTAAACAAGGACCACAGGAGATTGAGGTCATCGGCGCCGAATACAGTTACTTCAGAATTCCCATGAAAGGACTCCCCGTCGCCTACTGGCCCAAGGCTCCACCATCCCAGTATATTCTTGTCACCGGCGAGCAAGTTCACGCCGGCGACACCGACGATATCATCGGAATTCCCCGTGAGCTTCTGGAACGGGATTCCATTCGGGCCTTCGCAACCGACGCCGAAGCCGCCACCGACACAGGACCTGAAAAGGAGCAGAACGACGCAGCGGACAAACAAAAATACTATCAGAAGACTGTCGGTTATCCGTGCGGAACCAGAAGCCTGGCAACAGCGGCTCGGCCACCCCTCACGCACCATGCTAAAAAACTCTCTCAAGGCAGGCGTCTTCGACGACGACGCCCTGCTTCTCCCTCGAGGAGGATCTCTCACAGCAGAATCCGATGACCCACCTTGCAGTGTGTGCCCGACTGCATCACTCACTCACAAACCCTTCCCAGACTTACCTCCCAGCTACAAACGCTACAAGCCACTCGACAAAGACTATAGCGACTTCATGGTTTTGAGTCAGACAGGGCTCGACGGCGAATCTTACACTCTTACCTTCATCGAGGCATCTACGCTCTATGTCTGGGCCATCAACACGGACTCCCGCTCCCTTGCCTTCGAGTGCTTCGTGGCCTGGATGAAACGGGCCGAACGACAGTCCAAACTGAAGCTGAAAACCTACCAGACAGACGGGGGTTTGGAGTTCTTCTCCACCGAATTCAAGGAGCTCTTCAAGCAGAAGGGGATTGAGCACCTGGTGTCCCTGCCCTACGCTCACGAACAGCAAGAGTCGCAAAACGGACAAACAGGAGCCTCGCCACAATAATGAGGGCTCTCATGAAGCAGCTGGCCGTGACCACCAAGTACTGG